GAGCAAATTTAACATTTTACAAACAAATTCCAAACTCTTCTATGCATATGTTTATAGCTGTCACTTCATTTTCTGTGCCATTGAAGGGGTGGCCAAAAAAAAAATCACACACATTCTTATCATTGCTTTTTTTTAACCATTCATGCCCCCCTCCTCCTCTGGCACATTTTGCAAGAGTTTATTTCATAAGCAGCAAATGGACTGTTATCGAATTCATCTCCTGACTTATCTGGTGGAGGTGCGAACGGCCATCGGCAGAGACAGGTGAGGCCTGCCTTCAGCAGCAGCCCCAGGTTCTCCGAAGTTAGGAAAGCTTTCCGACAGGTAAGAAAGTAAGATAGGAGATCGATGACTTTCCAAGCTTTTATATTTGGCAGTTTACAATTCTAGACTTTTCCTACTATGGCAATCTTTTTTTACTTAATTCTTTGGAGGTAACACAATATTTTGGAGTCTTAAGAATTTGATTTTATACCAATAAGAAATAAAAATTAAGGGATCTTTCCTGTAGTATATAGTTTTACTATTTTAAAAAGAGATCTCTGAGTTTTACAAGAGAACCAACATTCCTTAGTGGCAAATCTTTGAAAATTGATTTGGGAGGCTTTATGCTGCAGGATCTCAAAAAAAAAAAAAAAGATTCTAGTTAAATGTTTTTAATTTTTTAACTTCATCAGGTTGATACTTAAGCTATATTTTGTAAAGAGTAAATCATCCTTTAGTATGCTGCATATAAAGATCAGCATTGTTGCACTTTCTCAGTAATAATAAATGCCCTGCAATTGGCTCACCAGTAAGCATTTTGTTTTTAACCTAACAGGAGTACTTTGGGGCAGGTGATTAAATTTATATAGGTACCTCAAGAAAAAGAACCTGAATATGCTGCATTTTGTTTAACTTTTACATGTAGCATTTTATTTTGCTTTTATTATTTTGTTTAGATAATATGCTTTTTGGACCCCAATAGACTGTTGAAAGAAAATTTAAAGTTACTCTTGTAGAGATATAGTATCCTTTTTTTTTTTTTTTTTTTTTTTAACTTACTGCAATCTCTCTTTCAAAGGTTGCCCTACATTAGAATAATAACTTTACCCAAATACAGCTGAGGAAAAGGATACTAGTTTATAAGCAGACAATAATGTTCCAAATCCTTTCTGTTCATGCTGCTTTCTTAATTTGTTTCTCCATGTCATCAAGAGGTTGGATAACTTATTTCTAAGCTCAATGTTAAAAATAAGGGCATCTTAATTTTTTTCAAAACAGACCTCACAAAATTGCCGTTGATCCGTTGAGTAAGTAGCATGATCCTAAAGGTATTGCTGACATTAGGCGGCCCGATCAGTCTGGTCCCTGAAGAGCCAGTCTGCACATTTCTTGATTCCTCAGCACTCACCCTAACCTGAGCAGATGGGGAGTGGTCTTGGTTGACAAGATAAACTGTTGAAGAAAGCTAAATGCTGAGACACTGAGCATCTATTGTCGTGTTTAAGCTTAGCTGGGTCCTTTCAAGTTTGTTTTTACAGCTTTCTAGGTTAAGTAGTTTGCACTATTTTTGCAATAAATTCATGGAAAATCTAACAGTTACTTGTTTTGTTTCTTACTGTGTGTATATAAACTAATACTAAAAGTTTGGCATAGTGTTTTTTCACCTCCTTACATAACCCCTAACATGCACAGAATGCTGTAAATCTGATAAAATATGATGTGAATGATATTTTATAAAGTTATTTTGTATGGTGTCAATTTTGTTTTGCCTCATAGTATGTCAGCAAAAAATAAAATAAAATTCCTCATATTTACAGTTGCCTCTTCCAAAGATCTTCAATTATTCACCCATGTATCTGGGCACTGTCTTCTGCACAAGCAGTGAGTGAGTCCAGGTTTCCAAGGTGGAAGCATGCCTTCTGGGATGGAAGCCGAGAGCGCTAGTCTACAAAGCAGACCTAGCCATGACCTGAGAAGTTGGGGTTCGGGGGTGACACCACAGGGAGGAGTTGGACAGTAATGAGAACAAACATGGTATCTCAGATAGTGGGGTGTTTCTATTCCAGCAGCCATAGAGAAAGGATGAAGTAAGAAGCCACTCAGCTGAGCCCCAGTCGTATGCAAGGCCCTGAACTCCGTGCTGAGTGTGGGAACCAGAGCTGACCACATTCTGCTCCTCAGTCTAGGTGGTAACTTAAGTTCCTCTGCCCTGGCTGGGTTTACACATAACAGCGCTGCTCTGAAATCCCTGGTGGCTTCACTGTGACTGGGCTGTTTCTGACTTCTGCTATAAAGAATATGTGGTGCTGGGAAAGGAAAGGCGGGCTGCTGGATTAGGAAAGCCAAAAACTGGCTGAAAATCCCGAGGATGTACATTGTTGCTACAGCAGGTCGTTTTGTCCTCACTTAAAGCCATTTCCTGGGCTGGCCGGTTGGGTCAGTTGGTTAGAGCACAGCCTTGTAACACCAATCCAAGGTCATGGGTTCAGAGCCCCACACTGGCCAGCTGCCAAAAAATAAAAGCTATTTTCTAACTTTTAAGAATAAATACGTATTTGTTATAGAAAATGTGGTGGTTAAGATAAACATGAAGATGAGAATTTTAAATTATCCATAAACACAACACTAATAGGTAATTACTCTTAATATTCTGGTCTATTTTATTCCACTTTTTTTTTTTTTTTAAACAAAAACAAGATGTAGTTATTTCCTAATGTATCTAGTACCCTGAACTTTTTCGTAGTATCCAAAACCACGAAGCATCTTTGTGCCTGCTGGCCCTGGAACGTGTTAGTCAAAATTGGAATAATTTGTAGAAAGTGATGAGAGATCCACAACAATATACTCACTTAATATGGCCTTGCCTTGTAAGCATCTTTGTGCCTGCTGGCCCTGGAACGTGTTAGTCAAAATTGGAATAATTTGTAGAAAATGATGAGAGATCCACAACAATATACTCACTTAATATGGCCTTGCCTTGCTATGTTCTCACTGTTTCACTATCATTTTATCAGATGACCAGAAGCAGTCATGACCTGATTGGAAAAACCTAAATGTAAAAGCAGTATATGATGTTAAGTGTTACTGAATTAGGGGCCGGCCCGGTGGCGCACTGCTACAGTGCGCCGCTTGTGAAGCGCGGTGGCGCCGATGTTAAGTGTTACTGAATTAGGGGCCGGCCCGGTGGCGCACTGCTACAGTGCGCCGCTTGGGAAGCGCAGTGGCGCCCCCACCAAGGGTTCGGATCCCACATACAGACCGGCCGCTCACTGGCTGA